GTTTGATCTGCATACCTCCCCCATTTTTGTAGCACAAGTAGGGAAACCTCCAAAGGTTTCCCAGGCCAACCAATGTTCCTGCTACAGCCAGTAAAAACTCCAACTTGCTCGCCCACTGGCCGCGGTCGAGCAACTGAGTCTTCTTCATGAGACCTTTTTCTTGCCCGGGCACGTCCACGCTGCTTCCTTTGAGAAATTCCCTCGGCATGCTGAGAAAATCAGTAGCAAATTAAGTTGTATTGGTTTTGTTTGTTTGTTCGTTTTTCTTGTTTTTTTGTTTAAAAAAAAAAAAAAAACAATACAAAAACCCTCACCCCAATGTCCTTCCACTTCCTCCACACTTATAGGACAACTGCTGTCAAACGTTTAAAGCTCTCATTCACACTGACAGAGAGCTCTGGGGGTTTTATTGCACACATTCAGAACTTCTCAGCTGATTATTTGGCATTGCTTATAAGCTTAATTTATTCATTCGTTGAACTTAAGCTCGTAGGATAATCGGGAATTGAACTGGCGACAGAGTGCTGCCGCATTTTTTGGCGTTAAAGCGTAAAGCGGAAAAGAAAAACGCGGTGAACACCTACCTCTCCATAATCAAACTCCCGCCCCCAAGAGCCCCTTTCCAGCCTCAGAAAACTGATCAGTATTTCTCTCAGCCGCTTACACTGCAAGAGCTCTACACAGCAAACATGTCATGAAAAGAGCCAAAGTGAGAAACAAAGTAACCGTGGTTTGCTTTAACTCCTCTGACCCAATTATGGCCAGACCTGCACGTTACGCATTAGAAGAAAAAAAAAGAGGTTTGGCTATGACAAAGATCCGATCTAATGCCACTTCCCTTCTGTAATTTTCCACTCAGACAGGAAGACCTTGAGTGTATAAGATTAGCACTTTGGCTAATAACTAAAGCAAAGCAGCTGAGCCGTCTCTGTTAATGTCATGTGCTGTAAAGAGACCTCACTGAGCTGCCAGCTGGAGGATTTGTAGCAGTGGTTCATACATCACATGAAAGCAATATAAACATTTCTGTATGCAAACAGGCATGCGGTGGGAATGACTGAACGTATAGTGTGCACCTTGTGTTATTGCATGGCGTCTATAATTAGATGCAGGTTCTGCTTCACATCTGTACACGTGCAGCTGCTTTAATTTCCTTTCTGAATGTGTTTTTCTGAGCTCTGATCGCTGAATGTTTTCTGTGAATAATTTACTACATTGATATTGCTACTGATAAATATTTGTTTTTTACGTGGCCCTGAGAGGCCAAACGGACTGCAACTTCAGAAAACACTTGCAAAAAGAAAAATGCTGCAAAAAGAAAAATGCTGCAAAAGCACACACAACACAACAGAAATGTTTCTGGGGAGACCAGTTGCACGAACCAAAACATGCTAACAAGTGCACTGGGACTGGGAGACACTTCAACGAAGTGGAAGCAGAGCGGCCAAAGAGTAAACTTTCAAAAGTAAGTTCTGAATATTATGTCACTTATTTATGTGCAAATGTTTAATAATGAAGAACATTAAAACATTACTGTTGGCCACATGCCGGCAAAGTTATGTGACATTAGCGATGTTTGTACTTTGTACTCAGTGTTTACTTTGTTTTAAAGCCTTTACTTTAAAATATACGCCGTTCGATAGTCGACCTTAATCTTACAGAGAATGTGATGATTTTGTGGATAATTAAAGTCAGTCATATATCCACAAACACAACAAGCTGAAAGTCAGTGATGCTGCTC